TGGATACAGGTAGGGAGGGGAAAAGCCAAACATACAATGCTACCCAGGGTCTGAGAGAGCCCATCTGCCACTGAAGCATCTTTCTAAGGTACTGATGGCAGGTGCCACAGTATATTATGGCATAGTAGAATTCTCAAAGTGTGCTCATAAGGCCAATAGCTTCAGCATCAGCATCAACTGGGAAATTATTACAAGAAACACGAATTCTTAGACCAAATCAGAAACTCTGGGGGTGGGTCCGGCAACCTTGGCTTTAACAAGCCCTCCAGGAGATTCTGATATTCCCCAAAATCTGAGAGCCATTGGCCAAGATTGAGTCTTTCAGACCATGGGTTTGGATCCTAGCTCTACTTACCCATTAACTCTGTGACCCTTGAGGAGTCACTGAACCTGCCCAAGTCCCTGTGTCCTCTTTTATGTATAAACTGAGATGATCACAGTCAGTACTAGCTCATATAGAGTCATTTTGGAAATTGAGATACCATATGTAAGACACTTTGAAACAGAGTAGGCAGTATATGAATGCTTGCAATTATTGATGCTAGCCAGAATTAAAGCATCACGTTTACCTAGAAGCCTGCAAACCACCACTGCCCCCAAGCCAGCCTTCCCATTCAGCTGGCTCCTCTGAGAAGGAAGCAGGAAGGCTGTGGGGGAGAAGCCAGCTTGGCCATGCTGTCTGTATCTCTGGCACTCGCTCATGGGCCCACTGACTCATGAGTGCCGATTGGGCACCAGGACCCTGCACAGGCTTGGGGACATAAGCGAGTCCTGGCCTCTCATGCCTGACCATCCACAGGGAGAGACCGATATCCAGCTAACAGCCCCCAGGGTCCCTGTAAAACTATGACTGCCAGAAGAGCTATAAGCCAAAGGACACAGGCTGTGAGGGCATATAAGGGGAGCGAGCTGGTAGGAGGGGCACTGGACCTAGCTGGAGGTGTCAAAGAAGGCTTCCCCAGAAAGCAGGGTCTCAGCTAAGATCAGCATGGGTAATGGTGATAACTCACTCTTTACAAGCACTGACTATGTGCCAGGCATCACCATGTGCCAGCACTTAAATATTTTAAATCCTCATTGTAAGTAATGTCTTGGTCCGCATTTTACAGATGAGGAAAGTGAAAGACAAAGATGGTTACCTTGACCAAGGTCACAGAGCAGAGGAGTGGCAGAGATGGGATTTGAACCCAAGCAGACAGGGACCTGTGCCAGTGCTCTTACTATGCACAATTGGCAGAGAGCTGCTGCCTGGTGACTGGCAGGCAGGGAGGTCAGGGAGAGGTGTGAAATGGTGCTGGAGGGGTAGCAGGGAGCAAGTCATGCAGGTCTCATGGGTACATGTTTTTGTCCTGAGAGCAGAGAAATACCATGTAAGGGTTGACAGGGCACCATCATATACGTGTTCTTCCTCACTAGTGGATTGTAGGACAGTGAGAAGGGGTGTGCAGAAGCCCAGGTAAGGAATGAGGCTGGAATAGTCGAGGGTGATAGCAAAGCAGATGAAGGAAGTGGGTGGATCTGCTGCTCTTGTGAGGTCCTCTGAAACTATTTCACATCTCCGCAATCCTTACTAACTCAGCTCTTCAGTGGCCCACTTTGACAACCAACGTGAACAGTAAGCTCTGTACTGTGCAGCATACAACCTATAAGCCTGCCCCCACCCACCGCCCCCACAAATCACACAGTAAGAGACTAATTCGTGGTGTGGAAAACCATGTGGTTAGGTGGAAAAACGCAAGCTATAAAACTGATGGTATCCTGTATGTTTCCAATTTCACCGCACACACACACACACATAAGAAAAATACTCAAGGGATGTATGCTAGAATGTTAACTGTGGCTATCACTAAGAAGAAAGAGTAAAGTTGATTTTTATTATTTTTTTTCTATGTGTGTGTGCATGTGTGTTTTTGCATCCTTCCCCTTTTGCAGTGATCATATATTATTTTTGTAAGCAGAAAAATAAATAAGCACTATTTTTAAGCTGTTTATTCATATATGAGGCTAATCACAAATTCTGGAACTCAAACTTGGCATGAGTTTGGCCATCTGTACCAGGGAGACAGCTTGGAAGGGAGCCGGCTTACAGATTGGCTCAGTTCTATCACGGCTTACGCCTGACTCCTGGTGAACAGGGACACTACGGTCGGACTTCTATTTTAAGATAGCTACATAACTATGTCATGGAAGTTTATTTATTGACTCATTTTGTTGCTTAACAAACATACAGATCACATTCTATCTGCCAAGCATGATGGAAATATAAAAGTAAACTTAGGATATTACCTATTTGTGAACATGGCTTATCGCTACTTTTGGTCAAGTTTTCTTTTTATGATTCAATTGCTTGGTAGTTTTATTCATATAGGTTCTGCTCCATTACTGTGATGTTTATTGCTAAGTGCAGTGGTTAAGAGCTTGGCTGCTAACCAAAAGGTCGGCAGTTCGAATCCATCAGCTGCTTCTTGGAAACCCTATTGGGCAGTTCTACCCTGTCTTATAGGGTCGCTATGAGTCCGAATCAACTTGACAGTAACGGATTCAGGTTTTATTGAGAATGGACATTTTTCTTGGTACATTTTCTCATTACAATGAGTCCAGAAGCAACTAATTTTTATATATAAATTAATATCTGATCACTTTACGGGACTATATTAGTTTTTCAAACTCTACTCTTTGATTTTCAAAGTGTACAATCGTGCGGAAAGAGTTGTTTCTTCTGAAATAGAGCCGTTCTGATTTCAGAACTCTGTCCACGCTGGATTATGACTCCTTCAGATGCACTCTCCACCCTCCTCCATTTCCTCTGCCTCTCAGGACCGGAAGCGCAGCTGCCGCCTCCCTCGGTTGTGAGCTGCTCAGCCCTCTCCATGCCTTTGTAAATAGTCCCAAAATTAAATACTTTTCCCTTTAAGTGCCCTCTGGGTTGGACTGGAGACTGCTGCGCCAGTCTATTGCCTATAGCGTCCCTCGTGGAGCAGTGAGAGAGCAGGGAAGTCTCTCTCCCTACACCCCACACCCCTCCCCATTTTAATGGGAATGTTTTGAGGTTCTGTAGAACATTGAGTTTTAAAATTTTTGCTTTTATGAAAATTTGTTGTTAACCCTACTATTAAAAATATTTACTTCTGCCTGGTTCCCACTTAAGTTATAAATGCCTTTGAGGGCTGCAGCTGTCTGGAATACATCTACAAAATGTCTGCTACAGTGCCTTCAAATTGTAGTCACTACACAGATGCTAATTCATAAAACGTAAGATACCCACAGCATTTATATTATAGGAAATCCATACTTTCTAATATAACATGAAAATCCAAATTCCTCATTTGGAATTGGTAATATTGCCCAGGTTGGAAAACTTGTATCTGGAAAAGATGAGCAACAACTATCCTAATTGTAGCAAATGGAACAGCTCTCTGCAAGTCCTTATCATCATTATAATTAAATTTAGAAGTTTGGCCACATGCCATTGAAAAAAACTACAAAAATAAACTTAGCACGTTAAGGAGTAGGGTGTGTTTTGGTGATTATACTGATTTTTTTCAGAATCAGTAAATACTTTGAAAGGTATATAAGTGGCTTACATTGGGAAGGTCAGTTCCCAATCGCTAAGTTCCACTGTGAACAGGCAAAAGATATCTGACTCTCAAGGGCACCTGGTTATTGGACTGGTTTTTCCTAAGTTTCAGCTAACTTGGTGCTTTCACATCCATGCTTATTATCCTATGTGCTACCCCTCAGGCAGAAGTTCACTGCTTTAAACTTGAAATAAAGAATCTGCTTTCATTTTTAAAGTTTGTTGAAACAAAAAAAGCATAACCTAATTTTCAAACTTGATTTTACAATTACAAAAAGTAGGTGGCCCACCCTAATATATTGCATGAAATACAATTTCTACCCATCACCAATAACTCTCTGAGAACAGGCACCATGCCTGTTTTGTACACTGTGATATCAAGGCCAAATGTCTAATAAAACAAAGAATCACCAATAGTTCTAATCACCTGTTGGTTTGAATTACAGTGTTTCAATCACTGGCATGGATTGATAACCATGCCTGACTCCCATAGCCTTTCTGGAAATAGGAGCAAACCATGTGGCTGATTCATAAGGATTGTTTTAGAGTTAACTGCTCCTCTAGGTTATATCCGGAGCACACTTATCTGAAAGTGAATCTACCCCTTTCTTTTTAAAGAATCAAAATCAAGGAAAAATTCAGATGTAGACCTCTTAATGAAATATTAGTAAAGATGATGGATTGAACCCACATCTAATTTCACTTCCTCCCAACTCCCTGTCAAAACTACAGTAAAGGAATTTTTAGAACACATTAACCTCCAAGAATGAGAGAACAAGAGGATAGCTTTAGAAACCCTATGGGGCAGTTTTACTCTGCCCTATAAGGTCACTATGAGTTGGAATCGACTCAATAGCACACACGAACAACATGCAGGGAGGAAAAAATAGAAAAAAGAAATAATATCCTTAGGGAGATAAGAAACGCAGACACCAAATAAATGCATATATACATATAGAAATGGCAGTCCCCAAGCAGGTGGACACTGAGGGGGGGCATGGAATTGACAGATTGGATGGGTCAGTGCTTGTGGAAATCTGTACAAAATGGCTATTGAAGAGTTTGAAAAGAATTCGGAATGGGTACCAAAAAAAAAAAAAGCCGGAAGGGGGTGGAGGCATATTCAGCTTCAGGAAACAGCAAATGTAAAAGAAGAATATAGTATTTAGAAATATGGAGCTGCAAGAAGAAACAGCTGGGGGAAGAAGGGAGGCATGGACAGGGGACTACTGGATTCTTTTATAAGCCTTTTAAAACTACATGAATGCATTACTTTAATAAAAAGACATACTGACTTCTCACTAAGCTCTCCAAGGTTCTCACCTGTAATGATTTTTCTTTCACAGTAGTTAGCTACCAAAATGTGGCAGTGACAGATGTAGCTAAGATCCCAGGTGGGGAAAAAAATTAAAGAACTGAAGAGTACTTTGAAATAGTTTTATTGGCTCATAAGACCTTTGCATATAAAAAAAATACCCAAAACACTATGCAGTATTAAATCACAATTACCTTTTTTTTTAACCAATTGAAACTACCCAGAATATATATTTTTTAAACAAACAAAAAAATCCTAAGGAACTGAAATTCTGAAATGACATTATGACTTAAATACTATGACAAAATAGATAATTCCTTATAACATGAATTGCACAAAGCTGCCAGATATTTTCACAAGCGTAACCAGTACACAGAGTGCAAATGAGCACAATTCCAACGCTACACATTTAGCTGAAGTAACTGTGCTGCCACCTAAGGAACTCTTAGAATTCTGGCACAAACTGCTGGTCTGTTTCAACTTCCCCAGGCAGCCAACTTCACAATCTGTTACTCTTTCTTCCTGGCACTCCCCAAAAAGAGACAGCCTTCCACTGTGACAACCTGAGAGTCAGCATCGCCTCTGCTTAAAGAAGTCGACCCCTCGTAATTCTTCAGGCAGGTACTCCTGATCCACAGGCTCGCTGTACATGGGGTTGTACTTGTAGCCTTTGCCATACCCCAGATCCTTCATCAGCCTGGTTGGCGCATTCCTCAGGTGCAGCGGGACAGGAGGCAGAGGCCCCTGGTGGTTTCTCAAGCAAGCTTTGACGTTGTTGTAGGCGCTGTATACCTCAATAGACTTGGGGGCTCTAGCAAAATAGACCACACACTGGGCCAGAAGCACCTACAACACAGAAAGGTAACATTTCATCATGAAGGTGCCAGGAAGTCTGTGTTTTGCAGTACTCTTTATGATACCTTTAGCTAATTCTTAAGTTTTCCACCATGCTTTTATTATCCACTCCCCCTTTTCCGCCTACAGTCTGGAGAGCCAACTATCACAGAGAAAAGAAATTCCTACACAAGGTGACAGGTTGAACCAGATGAGTCGTTTTCTTTTTTAAACTGCAGAACTTTTGTTAAATAAATTTTTTTCTTAAAACTCCAATGTATAAACAGCTAAACATGAAACTGCTCTAGAGGTGAAGTCTACAAGACTTTCTGCTCAGCTTCCTCAACACTTCTGCCCCTCAAAGCCCTAAAGCCCTTCCTTTGGACCCCAGGACTCCTAAAAACAGTTGGAAGACATGGCCTAGGGCCTGTGTCTCTCTAGTGATCTCAGATCTAGCATTAGAGTAAAAAAGCAGAGCAGCTTCTTCAGTGACTCGGTTCATCCATCAGTAGTAAAGGCCGACATAGTCAAATCCACAAAGGGACAGAGCACAGGAGAAAGGGGCTGATTGCAAAGAACTGAGCAGATTACTTTACCTCACATTCGGGCATGCCTATAAAATGACAGCCTTGGTAGGCAGCAACTGCTTGTGTTAATGCAGACGGGTCTGCCAGACCTGCCACACACACAGAGACAAAGGAAAATTTAAGTCACAACATACAGTATCATTCTGACCAGTGCATGCACTTTCAGGATGGCAGACAATCATTGCGTGTAGATTTTGCTGACCCCGAACAATTCCATTTCACATAATGGATTGGCTGTTCTCTGATCTCATTAATTTATTCAAGAACTATTTACTGAGGGTTACTGTGTGTAAGGGATGGTGCTAAGAATGGTTCCCTTGTGGATAAAAACTCTATCTAGTAGGAAAAAGAGACTAGGTACAACAAACTTAAGGGCACGGGTCATTCACAAGGATGAATATGTTAAAAACAAACAGTTATTAAGACCAATGAAAACTAAAGCTTTTTTGATCTTTTTCTTTAAATAGTGTCCAGATCTTCCATTCCTATCTCAAGAGCTGCCCAATGAAAACTGACTGCAAAGTAAATTTAAAAATTTTTCTTTTAGTTCAGTACTCTGAATAGCAACTGAAGAGGAAATGCTGACTTTATGAACACACTTAAAAGCACACACGCATACCAAGAAATATACTTCTGAGTTCATATTTAAAAGTCTTCTGATCTTCTCCTTACCTCTCCCACATGGTATCAAGAAATTCTCAGGCCACAAACAGGCAACACCCCCTCACCTCACCCTGCATGGGCACCAGGTTCTGGGGCCTTCCCATTACACTCACCTATGTCCTCGCTGGCAAATCTCACAAGCCTCCTTGCCACATACAGGGGGTCCTCTCCTCCTTCGAGCATGCGGGCCAGCCAGTAGAGCGAGGCGTTCTGGTCGGAGCCACGCATAGACTTGTGAAGTGCAGAGATGCAGTTGTAGTGCTCTTCCCCTAGACACCAGAGAATATCTCAGAGAGTGGCGAGACACAGGGCCCACAGAGCTCAAGAGGGAGAACCGTTTATTCAACTGGCTGATTTTACGGAATTCTGTCGAAAGACACACTCAGAAAGCTTGAGGATAGTAAGGCATGACAGCTGCTCTCAAACAGCTCAGCAGGAGGGTGTGAATAAATACCACCAGCATACCAAACCAAACAAAAACCAAACCTGTTGCTGTAAAGTCGATTCCGACCACTAGTATAGAGGACCAGAATATGCCTTCAAATAGTTATCTTTGGGGCTGATGGGTTTCTTTGGGGCCTCCATTTCCACTGAGAGGAATGTGATGGTGAGGAAGAAGCCCTGTGGCTGTGCACCCTGAGTGCAAGCACAGACAGGCCAAGGGTGAGGAGGCACTCCCCTTGTAAAGGTGGTCCTCCCAAGAACTACAGTGGTGTTGCCAGGGAGAGAGGTGAAGGGAGAGTGGTTCTGATATTCTAGCGCCTTCACGTGTCCTCACTGTCCATGGGAAGGAAAACGACCCTGGGCCTGGTAGTAGCCACTGTGAAAGGGAGTCAAGTGGTGAGGGCAGATGCTGCAGCCCATTTGTCCCTCAGTGTCATTCCAGCTGGTGTCATTTAAACCTCTCTCCCCAATCCCCTGGTGTGGGAAACCAGTGTGGTGGGACAGAGAAGGACTGATAGACTGACACTTCTCACTCGGGAAGTCCTGCAGCACCTCTCTCTTCACTAGGTCTTACCCCATTTTTTGCCCTAGATTTACATGCAAGCAGATCAATGAACTGTGTTTTAGAAAAACACCTACTTATGAGCAGACAATTACGGCTATACAATCCTCTGTAAATGCCCAGTCCCTTCTGACTTATGTTCAGGAGTGTTCCGCAGAGCACCTCCCCTTCTGAGAGGGCACAGGGCCTCCTCTCTATTTGTATCGGTCCTTCAGGAGAAGCTCCTGGTCTGTGCTCATCATCAAGCCAATGTAAATGGTCACACTGGAACTGCTTCCACAGTGTGTGGGCCCTGGTCACAAATCCTGGCAGCTGAGCTTGCTGGTCAGACTCACTTGTCTCAGAAGGAAGGAGAACACACAGCTGGTGCTGGCCCTGCCAGAGGGCGAGGCGCCTGGGCAGCTCCCATCTCAGAGGACACAGGCTCATCCCAGTGGGCGGATGGACAGACTGAGTTGTCCCCTGGCACAGGGCTTCCTCATTTAAAGCACAACACCATGGAGAAAGGCTGGGAAGTGTCCCGGGTGAGATTCACAAGGTTCTGGGCCCAAATGCCTACCCTACCAGCCTGGAAACTCTAATTCTGTGCTGTCCTTCTCTCTGAAGATGATCATGGGGTTAGGAGGAGGACCGGGGTGTATCCCCCCAGGGTAGGCTTGGCACCCATGGATATGGAGGGAACAGGAAAAACACCTCTGGTTCACTTTGTCAAAATTAAACTAGGAGATGGATACGAGTCACTCCTTTCTCCTACCTTCACTGGGTCACAGTGCAGGCAGCGGCTTTAGTGGGCGCAGTGCAGGCAGCTGGCTATAGTAAGAGCATGGGCTCTGGAGCCAGGCAGCCTGGTCTGAACCCTAAACTTACTAGCTATGTGACCATGGGTAAGTTACTTATCCTCTGCATGCCCCAGACTTCTCATCTGAAAAACAGAGATAGTAAGAGTACCCACCATGTACAGTTTTGAGTCTTAAATAATATACGCCTGGCACAGAGAAAGTATTATATAAGTGTTAGATATTATTCTATGCTACGTTCCCTTTTTGCCTTTACTATGCTGCTTTGTAATCTGAAATGTCACATTTTTCAAGTCAGAACTTGACTTCAATGCATGGTAGAGAACTTGCTTTCATGTGGAAAATTTTCACTCTGATGCAGAAATAGCTGAGCTAGTTACTGGATCCCACAAATAACTACATACTAGGTGACATTAGGAGCCCTGGTGGCGCAGTGGTTAAGAGCTGTGGCTGTTAACCAAAAGATTAGCAGTTCGAATCTACTAGCCGCTCCTTGGAAACCCTACCGGGCAGTTCTACTCTGTCCTATAGGATCGCTATGAGTCAGAATCGACTCATGGCAGTGGGTTTTTAGGCAACATTAAAAGAAATAATAAAAATCTTGGGGGCAAGGGTGTCTCAACAGAGTGACAAAAAGGCCAGAGAGCAATACCTTACAGGTTTCCAGGGCGATACTTCTACTACCCCTATTTATGGAACAGCACCTGTAGAGCAGTCTCTGGGACTGGACTGCTGAGGTCTGCAGACCTCCTGTGGAGAAGATCTGCTATGGTGGTGGGGGTGTGTGACCACATAAGGCAGAACTCAGACTTGCAGAATGTGGGGCTCTCAAGGCCTGTGCTCCCGGCCGCCTCCATGACCCCAGCTCTACCTGGGGCAGCAGACAGCAGGAGAGGAGATCCCCATCACGCACAGCTCGCCTGGACAGGACGTGAGGTTCCAGGAGTAAAAACTAGCGTCTTGTGTGGGGAAGAGGGCTCCAAAAAGGCCATCAGTGACCGTGACGGCCAAACATGGAGGCACCAGTACACAGTCCCTGGAATCAGTCAGATCACCTGCTTTGTGAACTTAGGACAACGGGGATGATAATAATAGCTACCTCATAAGGTTATTTTAAGGACCCCTGGTGGCACAGTGGTTAAAGCGCTCGGCTGCTAACCGAAATGGTAATGGTTTGAACTCACCAGCCGCTCCATGGGAGAAAGATGTGGCAGTCTGCTTCCATAAAGATTACTGCCTTGGAAACCCTATGGGGCAGTTTTACTCTGTCCTATAGGGTCGCTACGAATCAGAACTAACTCGATGGCAATGGGTTTGGTTTGGTTGGTAGGGATATTTTGAGAATTAAAAAAGATAATGTATTTAAAATACTCAACAAAGATACAATGCAATCCCGATCCAAATTCCACCAGCATTTTTTAATGAGATGGAGAAACAAGTCACCAACTTCATATGGAAAGGGAAGAGGCCCCAAATAAGTAAAGCATTACTAGAGAAGAACAAAGTGGAAGGCCTCACACTACCTGATTTTAGAACCTATTATACCACCACAGTAGTCAAAACAGTCTGGTACTGGTACAACAACAGATACATACACCAATGTAACAGAATTGAGAATCCAGACATAAATTCATCCACCTATGAGCAGCTGATATTTGACAAAGGCCCAAAGTCCATTAACTGGGGAAAAGACAGTCTCTTTAACAAATGGTGCTGGTATAACTGGATATCCATCTGCAAAAAAATGAAACAAGACCCATACACAAACAAGACCCTCACACCATGCACAAAAACTAACTCAAAGTGGATCAAAGACTTAAACATAAAATCAAAAATGATAAAGATCATGGAAGAAAAAATAGGGACAATGCTAGGAGCCCTAATACGTGTATAAACACAATACAAACCATAAGTAACAGTGCACAAGCACCAGAAGAGAGACCAGATAAATGGGAGCTCCTAAAAATCAAACACTTATGCTGATCAAAAGACTTCACCAAAAGAGTCAAAAGACAACCTACAGACTGGGAAAAAATTTTTGGCTATGACAAATCTGATCAGCGTCTAATCTCTAAAATCTATAAGATACTGCAAAACCTCAACAACAAAAAAAGACAACCCAGTTAAAAAATGGGCAAAGGATATGAACAGGTACTTCGCCAAAGAAGATATTCAGGTGGCTAACAGACACATGAAGAAATGCTCACGATTATTAGCCGTTAGAGAAATGCAGATCAAAACTACAGTGAGATATCACCCCAACAAGGCTAGCATTAATCCAAAAAACACAAAACAATAAACGCTGGAGAGGTTGTGGAGAGACTGGAACACTTATACACTGTTGGTGGGAATGTAAACAGGTACAACCACTTTGGAAATCGATTTGTCACTTCCTTAAAAAGCTACAAATAGAAGTACCACACGATCCAGCTATCCCACTCCTTGGAATATATCCTAGAGAAATAAGAGCCGTCACACGAATAGATATATGCACACCCATGTTCGTTGCAGCATTGTTCACAATAGCAAAACGCTGGAAACAACCTAGGTGCCCATCAATGGACGAATGGATAAACAAATTGTGGTATATCCACACAATGGAATACTACACAACAAAAAAGAACAAAGATGAAGCTCTGAAACATCTTATAAAATAGAGCAATCTGGATGGCATTATGCTGAGTGAATTTAGTCAGTCACAGAAGGACAAATATTATATAAGACCACTATTATAAGAACTCAAGAAAAGGTTTAAACACAGAAGAAAACATTCTTTCATGGTTATGAGGGTGGGGAAGGAGCGGGAGAGTTATTTACTAACTAGATAGTAGGTAAGAATTATCTTAGGTGAAGGGAAGGACAGCACTCACTACAGGGGAAGTCAGCACAACTGGATTAAACCAAAGCTAAGAAGTTTCCTGAATACAATCAAACACTCTGAGGGACAGAGTAGCAGGGGTAGGGGTCTGGGGACCATGCTTTCAGGGGACATTGAGGTCAAGTGGCATAACAAAGCTTATTAAGAAAATGTTCTGCATCCTACTTTGGTGAGTGGCGTCTGGGGTCTTAAAAGCTTGCAAGCGGCCATCTAAGATGCACCAAATGGTCCCAACCACTTGGAGTAAAGGAGAATAAAGAACACCAAAGACACAAGGAAAGTAGTAGCCCAAGAGATAGAAACAGCCACATAAACCAGCGACTTCATCAGCCCAAGACCAGAAGAACTAGATGGTGCCTGGCTACCACCAATGACTGCCCTGACAGGGAACACAACAGAGAGTTCCGGAAGGAGCAGGAGAAAGGTGGGGTGCAGTACTCAAATTCTAGTAAGAAGACCAGACTTAATGGTCTGAGACAGGAGGTACCCCAGAAAGCATGGTCCCTCGATTCTCTATCAGCCCAGAACTAAAACAGTTTCCGAGGCCAACTCTTTAGACAGGGATTGGACTGGTCTGTGGGACATAAAGTGATACTCGTGAGGAATGTGCCTCTTAGCTCAAGTAGATACAAGAGACTAAACAGGCAGCTTCTGTCAGAGGTGAGATGGGAAGGCAGAGAGAGTTAGGAGCTGGCTGAACGGACATGGGGAATCAGCAGTGGAAAGGAGGAGTGTGCTGTTACAGTATGGGGAGAGCAATTAGTCACATAACAATGTATGTATAAATTTTTGTATGGAAAAAAAAAAACCTCAGCAAGTATCAGCTGACGATATGGGGATGGTGACTTTCTGGTTTTTAAATGACAGTCTGATAAAATGGGAAGGAGGAGCTCCAGATGGTCTCATTATAAGGAAGAGTCTACTAGTGACACTGTGGAGAAGGGGGAAAGACCCCAGAAGCAATGGAGAATCCAGCATGCAGGAATATTTGCCTCTTAAAAATTATATTTTCTTCCTGCCTTCAACTCTTATTTCTAGCCAAAAGTAAAGCAGGGTTCTACATCCAGAATGTTTCATTCCCCAGACTTGTCAAGCATTCACATGACATTTGAGAGGATGGGAAGAGCGGTCACCCAAGCCCCTTGGGTTGTGCTAGGATAAGGGCCCTGCCAAGCAGCACATTCCCACCAGGATGCAGACAGGTAACTACTCTTCTCAGGATTTTTCACCAAATGTGTCTAACATGTTCTCTGTACTGATTAACACTCACCACACAAAAAGCATCACTCACTTCCCAAGGCTGTGTGGCACTCACTCATGAGGAGGCAATGCCTGGACAAAGGTCACTCATAAGCCCCTCCACCCCTTCTCTAACTACTAAGAAGTACTCTGTAATCAGATAGCCTTCGGGAATACTGTAGACATGGTTCGGCCTACGTGATACACTGGAATGTTCAATTATCAGCTTCCTTTTCTGGCATAGCTTGTAAAGGTGTGGAAATCCTATCCCAGTTACTGCAATATAACTCTATCCAGAACCACACAAATGTGAAAGCACAAGAAGTCCAGCCTAATCTGTGTGATGCTATCTTCACCACCCTCTTCTTCTATAAAAAGATACAAATGTGTTGTGCTTATGACACTGAATCCTGCCAGGCCACAACTGAATAAGAGCTGGTATCACATTTGGTCTTTGTAAATGCGATTCTATGCCAGCAGATAAGTGTATACGACAAAATTAATTTTTAAAAAAGATATTACAAAATGAAAGCTCCATGTAAACTTAATTTTTTGTTTAGATTCTGGGAGTTTAATTCTCAATCAAAACTAATAAATCCCTTATTGCAACAGTCTTCTCATCACTTACTGCCATTGTAAATAACCACAGGAATGATTCACTGTTAACCAAGTAAACAGGCTTTCTAAGATGCTTGTGTTCTAAAAGGCACCATCACAGAGTAAGTGAAAAGCATCTAACTACCTCAAAAGATAAAATTTGAAGCTTGCAATTTCAAACCCCAGCACCTCTCAATCCCGGTCAGCATGGCTCCGGCTTTATGCAGTTGTTAAGAATGGTCAGGAAGCCAGCTCTCTGAGTGTGGCTCTGTGTGGGTTTACTTCTATTACCAATGTGGAGCTCCTGGAAGGGAGGACATGTGGACATGACTTTTTCCATCAGGGTTTCACTCTTTCCACCTTTCAGTGACTTACCTGCTCGGTCATATAAAATGTGGGACTGCTGGAGCCCCTCTTTCACATCGTTTTCCGTGATTAGAACTCTACTGGGAGAATACGTTTGCCCACTTTTCTTACAAAACATCTTCCTTGAGCTTAACCTGGCCAGAACCGCCAGCTGTAGCCCATTTAGACCAGCTCTGGCATCCCCATCGCTGAGATAAGCCAGTGTGTCCACAGCTTTATCTTCTATGAGCACGGAGGGCCTGCAACACAACCAGTGGTGATTACTGTCACATGCATGTCACACACTCCATTCTGCAGCACACCTTACTGACTCACACTTCTTAGTAAGGTCACCAACAAACTACCTTTAGATTCCAGGTAGTTTGCCCCTCATTAACTCAGGTTGTTATGCATTATCATGACTGAGAACTGACCTGACCTTATGAATCACAAGGGTGCCTCACTGTATAAGCACACATATGTATGAGCACACACACATATAATAGGCATGTGTCAAGGAGACACTGAACGTTCTGAAAAGTCACTGTTAACACATGGTCTAACTGATTCTACCCTACAAGACTTGGGCAACTGCAGCTTCTAGTGAAAACTTCTATTAAAAAATGCTAGTACCTCACTATAGTGTACAGAAAACGTATGTTCCCAGACTCCGCCCAGTTCTAGTGAGATATGTGCGGTATAACACTGTGTGGAAACATGGGAAAGAACAGCATCACATCAGAATAACAGCTCTGAACGGCTCTAGAGACACTGTAGTTTAACTTCTGTGTCTTACAGATCAGAAATGAGGGCTCCAGCTACTTACGGCATGCAACAGGACCTAGCAGGTCTCTGGAAAGGCAGTAGATTGCTTCATGGTGGAAATTAATCAGCAGATGGTAACACAGAGAACAGAGGTCACCTGCCTTAGAACCAATCAGAAGACTCTGCCAGAACTCAGCTGTGAGACCTTGGGTAAGTCACCTCATCTCTCTCTCTGAACATCAGGACTAAGATTCTACGATCACATTTCTAAAGTTGGACCTTCATAACGAAGGCCTAACTATGATTATTTCCAAGTCAGCAAAATTTTCTATTCCTAGTCTAGTTAAATAAGGTATCTAATGTATTTAGTTTTTTAGAAGGGTCTTATTAATTCTTGGCTGAGCTGCTAGCTGCACATTTGTGAAGCAAAAAAATGATTTTTCAAAGCTCGCTCATGCCATTGCCAAACTTCAGCTAAAAATATCAGTAGTAATTAATAAGTCATCAGGACTGACTCAGTCAGCTACTTAGAAAACACTACACAGGCACTGACTGGGCTGGGCTGAGGAGAGAGAGTCATGAAGGGGTCCATCTTGTCTCCAAAAGTCAATACAGAATTCCTTAGAGCACAGCCATACTACTTTCCTTGGTGAGTGATTGGAATAATGCTGGTCTGTATTTCACTCACTAGAAGACTTAATTCTATGATTTTAAACACTGGCTCATCTCCTTCCCTTATTTATTGAAAGCCAAGCTTTCCAGTTAGTTGTTGTGGATCATCCATCAGCTAGCATGGCTTGTCTTTACTTTCTAATAGATGACTCTCTCATCCTTCTTGTGACCACTGCATGGGACCCAGGTCATGGGTATGGCCTGCAAACCAATGTTCTCCCTTCCTGAGAGAGCTCCACCTCAGCAGAGACCCAGTCAGATACTCAAGACAGACACTAAGGCCATGTTCGAAAACCTTTGGGCCACTTCTCAATCGAACACTGTTTAGCAGACTCTCTGGAAGATGTAGGGACCGAAGTCAGAGGAGGGAGCACAGGTTCACAACGTGGCTGAAAATGAATCACACACTTGTGGCTTTTATTTGTATACTATCTGTGGAGACGGGAAGACAGGGAGAACCAACATTGCCTGATAATCTCAGTTCAGTCTTGGAACTGATTAAAGCAATGCCTTCCATCCTCTTGGAAAGCTTCCTAGCAACAAAGGGCTTGCAGGACACTGTAGGAAGAAAAAGAAGTAAAGCAGGCGCCCTAATCAATGCTACCTTAGTAACTGACTGAGCCCTCATTCAGAGCCAGCTATCTGTTGAGCACATGTCATCCCTCTCCCCCTAATAAGTACTGCATCCTCAAGGGCAGGAAGCATGATGTATTCATTCTTGTATCCCCAGTGCCTGGCAGGTAACATGCATGCAATATATGCACAATGAATAGACTAACTACAATTGTCCCACAACCTCAGAGGGAAACATTCATTTTTTAAAAAATTATATTATATGGAAAGTATAAAGAAAGCAAATTAGTATCTCCATCGTCTAGAGATAGTGACAGCTAATATATCAGTGTTTGATTTCCTTTATGCATCCACCCACCTATGCAACCATCAACCTTTCATCTAATTTTTTAAATAACATTGGGATAGTGCTGGGTATAGTTTCACATCCTGCTATTTTACTTAACAAGCAGTTTTTTGAAAAACAAATGAGCGACTCAGAGCTCTGAATATCACTTAAAAAACACACACATTATATTAAATTTAAAAAATGCAGACAAGGGGGCAGGGGGCAGAAGTCATGTGTACTACCTTAACATCACTATGCTGATGTACACCTCTTTCTGTGGGTTTGCCCTTTGTGTCTCTTTAGAGGCACGTAGTGCTCTTTGGGCAGTCACAAGATGGGTGGTCTTATATACTCTATTACTATACTACTCCTCCATTTCCATTAGTCCTCATGTAAAGGCAGGGAGAAAGCCGTATTAACTATGAGAAAAGCAGACTGCTCCACAGAAGTATAAAAAGCATGCTGTGAATAAAAAGCCTTTTCAAATGGGTATATATGTGGTTGGAAAACAAGGAACTTCAATTTTTAAACTCCTAATGAAAGGACAAATTGTTCTACTGTGACCTGTTGTCATCAAGTTGGAAGTCACGGGGGAATGGGAGTGCTGCCACAACACAACCAGAGCTGAATGCTTTGAACCAAGACCCCACTGCTCCATCCTCCTTCCTTCCCTTGGATAAGAGCCACATTTCAAATTTCACCCCCAGCCAAAATGAGGGAGTATATTTTTAAACACAAATCAGTCTGTCAACAACTCTATTCAAGTAATAGAAGGAGACAGCTGAGGGCAATCACAATGGTCACACAGATGAAATTACAAAATGGAAATTCGCTACTAAGAACATGGTGCAGGATGTTGAAAAGGTTCTACCTACCACCCAATACATCCTGAACTCCAGCTTAGGCTAAATATGGTCTAAAGACTACTAAAACAAGATGTACCAAAAGGCTGGCAGTTTGAATCCACCACGCGCTCCTTGGAAACTCTATGGGGGCAGTTCTACTCTGTCCTATAGGGTCGCTATGAGTCAGAATCGACTCAACAGCAACGGGTTTTTACGGGTACTAAAATACCTTGAGATCTCAGGAAAGGGAGATAGATGAGGATACTCATGCCAAGAATGATGACATAAGGGATGTTTATACTGGGATTTGTAAAACTCCTCAGCAAACAGTAACTATTGCACCAGATATCTTGAAAGAGTAATCCTACTCTAGAGTTTAACACTTCTTTTAATTTAGGCATTAAAATTTAATGAAAAACTTACAAAATATTTTCCATTTGGAAATCACCTTTTACAGGTAGATCAGAATTAAATCAGGCAAAATTTGCCTTGGGGAAAGACTGCCCAAAATTTACTATCATCCTAAGAGCCTGGATGGCACGATGGTTAAGCTCTTGGCTGCTAACTAAGAGGTCAGCGGTTCAAATCCACCAGCCGTTCAGTGGTAGAAAAGACCTAGAGATCTGCTCCTGTAAAGATTACAGCCTTGGAGATACTATGGGGCAGTTCTACTCTGTTGTGTAAGGTTGCCAGGAGTATGAATCAACTTGACGGCACACAACAACAACACAGAGAAATAGGCAAGAGATAATAAATCACGTTGCTTTAATGTAATTAAAAAAAAGTTTTCTATAAGAAAAAAAACTGACTAGAATAAATGCATTGAAAAAGATGATATTCCTAGCTAGTAAGACCTGGAGATAAAGTAGACTTAGAGAGCTAGCTTCTCCAACTGAGGAGCAGTGACTTGATCCTAACAGAGGAACATGGGAAGTGATGCCCTGTCTAGACAGCAACTCCCTCTCTCCTCTTCTCTTCCAGGGTGTTGATCTTTGTGCACATGCACACTGTTTTTCGGTGGATGATACTGGGATTTGGAGGATGATACGTGATTTGGCTGGGAGTTTAAGATGGAGAAAGTAAAGTAAGTGAAAGTGTACCTGATATTTCATGGCAGAACAAAAGAATATATATGGCTCAGTTAAACTCTCCCTCCCTAAATTACAAAACAATATTCTGTGAATTTCTTTCCCTAAAGAGAAGGAATATTGCCTATTACTTGGTTAAGGTAACAACTGTTGTAGGTGGTTCTCAACCATGAATATACCTCAGATGACAGAGAACTTTCCTGAAATACAGATGCACATCCCTTACCACAGATCTACTGACTCAGAAATCTCCAGGGACAGACACTGAGCACATACATGTACTTTCAAATGTATCCCAGGAGGGCACGATGTGTAGCCCTGGTTAAGAGGTATTACTGCTAAATTATACCCTGGAATCTTTCGTTCCTATTCCCATACAAATTAATAGTGTTAGCCTCATACAAACAACTCTTAGAGAGGTTACAATGTTAACACTTACTGTCACATTTACCCTAATTTTAACTTGGTGTCTAGACCCCTTCTAGCAACTGAGGTAGCTTAGGTGTTAGGCTCCATCACTTTCAAGCTGGGTGATCTTGGGCAAGTTACTTACCCTTTTTGTTCCTCAGTTTTCTCATCTATAAAAGGAAACAATATCTACTTCACAGAGCTATACTGTGGATTAAATGAGATAATACATGTAAAACGCTTAAATGCTAGTTATTTTCATGATTAATCAGAATAATTTTATTAGCATACTCTCCAGAATAGCAAATCTTCAAGGCAGAACCTAAATTCTGCTGCTTCCATTATAAGCAGCATGAAAGTAAAACAAATAAAACAAAACTTACTGTCTCCACAAGGAGAAAATATACATTTCACAGATGATGCCAACTTCCTGTTTAATCCCATGGAGGACATGTCTTTCCTGATAACACTGTAGCTTATATCTGGTAGGGTCCACAGCTGATAGAACAGTGGCCCCAAAAAGATATGTCCAAGTCCTATCCCCAGTACCTGTGAGTATGACCTTATCCGGAAACAGGGTC